CGGTAAAGGACCCATGAGTTGCTACTCTCTAACGCGAATGATAAAAAAAAAATTCAGAAGACTGTATCTCTAGAAGCAAAATCTCGGAGTGGAAGATCATCGACATGTAAGTCAGTGGCTGTTACGGTTTGGCAGAATGGTAAAGCTATTGAAACCTTATACACGTATGGAGAAGTATCTGCTCGACAATTTTCTTGACAAACGGAGATTTGGAGAGCACTAAGAATTTTTCTTCAAAAATACCCATACAAAATTCAAATATTTAACGAGCAAAAAGTCGGCGATTTTGAGAAGCGTCAAGAATTCGCTGCATGGGTTTTCCGGCAAATTCAAAAACTGGCTATCTAATGTTCTGTGGACAGATGAAGCTCACTTTTCTCTAAACGGAAATGTTAACGCTCAGAACAGCCGAATTTGGGCAATAGAAAAACCTAGGATTCTACAGAAATGGCACTTCATCAGCCCAGAGTTACAGTTTGGTGTGGGTTCACTACTTTCTTTATTATTGGGCCATTTTCTTTGAAGAAATCAATGGAAAAACTTTTAAAACCGTTTCTGTAACTGATGAACTTTATGTTCAACTTTTGAGAGAAAAGGCATTCCCATATTGCAGGACAGACAAGCACTAAGCGAAATAACATTCATGCAAGATGAAGGACCTCCTCATATCTCCCACGGTACCAAACAATTGCTGAAGGAAACGTTTGGTGAAGATCGTGTGATAAGTCGCTACTTTATACACTAGTGGCCTCCAAGATCACTAGCCTTGGCGCTTTGCGATTTTGGCTCTGGGGGTACATTAAGTCGCGTGTTTATCGATGCCTGCCTCCACATTGGCTATGTTGAAGGCTTCTATCAGACGCCACGTTTCATCAATTTCAACAGAGGTGTTATTTAATGCTGTACAATCTGTCAACTATCGTCTGCAGGCGATGTTTGCGAATGAAGGGCGCCACATTGAGCAAGAATTGTGACCTAATACAAGAGAAGGCAGTTACCTCATGTGTTATATAAGCTGCCATGTATAAAATTATCTACCAATATTTTGCAGCTCTTTGTGTTGGGTTATGGGGATAATAAATGCTGTCCTCACATCTTGACCCTTTTTTTTGTGAACAGTAATTTTTTGTTTGTCATTTGCTCACATCTTATATTATGTCGTGCAAACCAAAGTTTTAAAACTTCTTGAATAACACTGGTACACACAATTTTACCCCTTATGTTTAGTTTATCGCTTTTTGCTCATTGGAAGAAATAGCATAAGGAATATTCTCTGTTCCACCCTATATTAGGTGACACATTTTTAAAATTTTGCACAGTATAATAAGCAATAATAACATTTGACGAGCCCATAGGATATTTTGAATAAAGTACGACAGATATATTTTGTCACCCCCCACTTTTATTTATTTGTTGGATAATGACAAATTTCCAGTTAAATAGTCAAATGTCGCCAATTTGTCAAGAAACTATACATTTCTCATAGCAAGAAATCCTATTAGAAATGCCATCATAATTTTCGGTAATATATTAACATTTTAAAAATCGTGTATTGATTTCAGCAGTTTTCAAACACTCAATCTATTTCACAAAACCGCATCTAAAAAAAAAATATATATATATATATATGAAAAAATAGTACAAATGTAACATTGTACTGGGATAAGGTGCATAAATTAAGAAATAGGCATCTCCTTATCGTGCAACTGAAAGTTGCTGATGGCTTGCGCCATCTATCGGAATAAATATCAACTATTCTCGTTAATTTTTAATTATTCCAGAATTGGCCAAATACCCCATTCTTGATTAATCAAGAAAAGATAACCACGGACGCGTTTCGGGCTGTTGGCCCTCATCAGCGTGGTGCAAGCTGTACCTCAACGACCGTATTATATGTGGTTTAAACGGGCTACTAACCAAAAGTAATGATTTTTGAGCCCATGCGCGATGTGAGGAGGCAAGGAATAGGAGTATGTAGCGGCAGGAGAAGACTCGCAGGGAAGTGGAAACGTTGGGAAAGCAGGGGAACAGCGCCTGGGAGAAGTGAGGCAGGGGTCCAGTAACCAGTAGAAGGTGGCGGGAGGAGTTGGAGGCGGAGGGTTTTTGAAGCCTAAAACGTGTGGGCCTTAGACTTCAAAATGGGGCAGTTTGAGGCTCTCGCCTCGTGGTTGCCTGAGAGGCCCTTTTGGCAGCAGTTGGCACATTTTGAAGTGTGCTGGTCAGCTCTGGTTGGGCAGGAGCGGCCTTCATGGCCGTCTTCACCGCAGTGGAAGCACTTGGGAGCTCTGGAACAGTGGGTGGAGTTGTGGCCGAAGCCACAGCAGCGGAAGCAGACGCGGGCGCGGATGGACGCCTCGAAGTTGAGGATCACACCGTCAACCACGATTCTTCCGCGGTTGCCCAGGGCTCCAAAGGTCTTGAGGTCCACCTCGATGAAGGCGGTGCAGGTCCCGTTTCTGAGTGCAGAACGGTGCGCCACGCGCACCACTTTGTTCCCGGGGAGCTGGCTGACAGCGGCGGTTGCCAGGAAGGTCTCCTCGATTGTGGAATTGGAGGTCTCCTCATCCACTCTGAAGAGGCAGATTCTTGGCAGGATCTCCTTCTGCTGGCGGACCTTCATTCCCGTTAGTTTGCTGGCCAGGGAGGTAGTCACCTCAGGGATGATGTCGGGATTGCTGGAGTGGAGGACCAGCTTCCCCTTGGTGCGCAGAGAGGCCCAAACACCTTGGGGTAGGGTGTGGACAGCGCGGACAGCCTTGTAAATGTCCCTTGGGTCAGCCTGTGGGTCGTCAGAGACGACCACTGTGTGGGCCGCCGATTTTTCCCCATGGAGGACCACTTGGGCGGCCGCAGGCTTGGATACGCGGGATGACGCAAGTTTGGTTGGACCTTTTAGGTTGGGTCTTTTTGCGGGCGGGTTGAGAGCCTCAGGCTGCTTCCTCTTGGTTGCAACAGGAGCAGGCAGGGTGGAGGCAGGCTTGTCAGCAGGAGAAGGAGTGGCAGGCTTGGTGGGGTCAGTCCGGGAGCTGGTATCCTTGCAGGAAGGACCAGGGCTGGTTTGAGTGCTTTGGCAGGCAGTCTGTGGATTGAATTCGTCCAGTTCCTTAAAGGACGCAAGGGTGCCAGAGAGGTTCTCTACCTCGACAATGAGGGCCTTGATCTGCTCGGTCCGTAGACTGGTGATATTCGTAATGATTTCGGTCAGGCATTCTTGGGAGGTAGGGTGAGGATAACGTAATGCCTTCTCGACGTCCTCCATCATCTGGCTATTCTCCAACTCTAATAGGGCGAGGGTTACGAGGGGCTCCTCGGCATTCTTCTTCTTCTTCCTAGAGGGAGCCATGGCAGGGTAAGGGGTAAGTATGGTAAGTATGGTAAGTATGAATGGCCAGAGCGTTGGTAAGTATGGTAAGTATGGTGTACCTCAACGACCAAAAAATTGGTCATTAAGGCATCCTGAAAAATCATGAAACGGGTAAGTTAAGGCCAGAATTGCGTGAGGACGCTACACAATGTGAAAAAAATAGTACAAATGTAACATTGTACTGGGATAAGGTGCATAAATTAAGAAAAATACATCTCCTTATCGTGCAACTGAAAGTTGCTGATGGCTTGCGCCATCTATCGGAATAAATATCAACTATTCTCGTTGATTTTTAATTATTCCAGAAATCATCCTTAAAGTTAGAAATAGTCGTTATTTCTCTTTAAAATTAATTTCGATTTTTGTTTAAAAGAAACATTCGCGGTATAATTGCAATTTTCGTTTTACAATCATCAGCCGTGTTATATTGTATTTTAAATTACTTTATATAATATTTACGAACGGAGAGATATGTCCAGGGTAGCCTAGTGGACATGGCATCTGCCCGGTAAGCGGAAGGTCGTGGGTTCGATTCCCGCCCCTGGACACTTTTATTTTTCCGTTCGCCATTACTCTTCATATTTTCACCCTTTCATACTTCATCCTTAAAGTTAGAAATAGTCGTTATTTCTCTTTAAAATAAATTTCGATTTTTGTTTAAAAAAACATTCGCGGTATAATTGCAATTTTCATTTTACAATCATCAGCCGCGTTATATTGTATTTTAAATTACTTTATATAATATTTACGAACGGAGAGATATGTCCAGGGTAGCCTAGTGGACATGGCATCTGCCCGGTAAGCGGAAGGTCGTGGGTTCGATTCCCGCCCCTGGACACTTTTATTTTTCCGTTCGCCATTACTCTTCATATTTTCACCCTTTCATACTTCATCCTTAAATTTAGAAATAGTCGTTATTTCTCTTTAAAATAAATTTCGATTTTTGTTTAAAAAAAACATTCGCGGTATAATTGCAATTTTCGTTTAACAATCATCAGCCGCGTTATATTGTATTTTAAATTACTTTATATAATATTTATGAACGGAGAGATATGTCCAGGGTAGCCTAGTGGACATGGCATCTGCCAGGTAAGCGGAAGGTCGTGGGTTCGATTCCCGCCCCTGGACACTTTTATTTTTCCGTTCGCCATTACTCTTCATATTTTCACCCTTTCATACTTCATCCTTAAAGTTAGAAATAGTCGTTATTTCTCTTTAAAATAAATTTCGATTTTTGTTTAAAAAAACATTCGCGGTATAATTGCAATTTTCATTTTACAATCATCAGCCGCGTTATATTGTATTTTAAATTACTTTATATAATATTTACGAACGGAGAGATATGTCCAGGGTAGCCTAGTGGACATGGCATCTGCCCGGTAAGCGGAAGGTCGTGGGTTCGATTCCCGCCCCTGGACACTTTTATTTTTCCGTTCGCCATTACTCTTCATATTTTCACCCTTTCGTACTTCATCCTTAAAGTTAGAAATAGTCGTTATTTATCTTTAAAATAAATTTCGATTTTTGTTTAAAAAAAACATTCGCGGTATAATTGCAATTTTCGTTTTACAATCATCAGCCGCGTTATATTGTATTTTAAATTACTTTATATAATATTTACGAACGGAGAGATATGTCCAGGGTAGCCTAGTGGACGTGGCATCTGCCCGGTAAGCGGAAGGTCGTGGGTTCGATTCCCGCCCCTGGACACTTTTATTTTTCCGTTCGCCATTACTCTTCATATTTTCACCCTTCCATCCTTAAAGTTAGAAATAGTCGTTATTTCTCTTAAAAAAAATATATTTTTGTTTAAAAGAAACATTCGCGGTATATTTGCAATTTTCGTTTTACAATCATCAGCCGCGTTATATTGTATTTTAAACTTCTTAATCTTTTACACCTTATTTTGCTCTGCATAATTTGTACCTAAAAATATATATTTCCCATTCCATATTTATGCCTTTAAATATTTGCATTTAAGTTAAACTATTTGCACCATAGCAGTTTTAAGATAACACGCCATATGCAAAGCAGTCGACCGGGAACACAATAAAAACAAAATATTATATATTTCTCATGTATTCACTCTCTTTATTAAGAATTAATCACCTTGAACATTGTTTTATCATATTCCCACTATAATTTTCGTTAATAACAACAATTACTTATAGATCCACATTACCATATACAGGGTGATCCAAAAGTCCCGCACTATTTTAAAAATTAATAACACCGCGAATATTTGCGCTAGAGCAATGCGGTAAACACCATTGTGTTCAGGATGCAATGATATTTTTTAAGCCAAATAATTAAAAATTCAAAATTGATTTTAGTTACAATTATATTCGCCAGATGTCGCTCTACCAGAATCAGAGATTCAGCGGACAAATTGTCTGATAAATTGAAAAATATAACTGATCGACACGTATTTTTATTTTTGAATACCAGGAAAGAACTCTAATAATATCAAATAACAAATTACTAAAACACCACTTCGCAAAAGATAGAAGAATTGGTTGTCGATTTTTAAATACAATCAGAGATATGTAAAATAGGTAAATGCAAATTAAACATGTAGCAAATATATATATATATATAAATTTAAGATACGCGGTTTGTTTTCGAAGATAATAAATTTCTAATTAATTCACTTCAGCTCTCTTTCAGTATCGATTATATTCATTTAAATTCATTTGAAAAATATTAATCTATCTCTGATGATTTATTTTACTCTGGAATGCCGTTGTTGTTTTTGTCGTGTCCAATAAAGAGTCTCAGATGTCTCCATGCATCTCCATCACAGCAGCAGCAATGTCCACTATCTTGTGTGTGTAAAGCTGCTGCTCTGGGTGTATGTTAATTTTCCTCAAGGCTGCGGCCATTGCTGGGTATGAGAATATGTGAGTAGGTGTTAGTTCCACACCAGGACAGTTGTTGCATGTCCTATAGGTTTTTGTGCCATATGGATGTATTGTCATTTCTTTATAGTGTTTTGTTCTAAGTATTGTTATAGTTTTTGTCATTTTTTGTCAGAGTTTATTTCGCATTTTCATCTTTTCTTATTTTTTGTTTAATTATCTTGAATTTTGTCAAAGCATCAGCGTCAAATAATGACATTTGTGCTTTTCTTTGGCTTACTTTCTGGCTTCCTTTGCCAATCCAAATGCCATTACATTACCCCCGATCCCAACATGGGCAGGAATCCATTGTAGAATGCAGTTCTTCTCCAATGGTTCCAATTGGGTAAGTAACGAATGTATTTTCTGTGTGATATTAGTATTGCCCTTCTGAATTGCTTCTATTCTAGAGCGGATATGAAGTCGCTGTATATTAAAATTCCTCTTGCTTGTTGCAGGGATGGTTGTTTAAGGCAAACATCAAGGGCTTTCCAGATAGCTGTCAGTTCACAAGTGAGGTTTCACAAAATCTGTCCTACTCCTTCTCTGATTCTGATGTGTGTTCCATATTGCAGTTTTATGTTAATTCCGGCCCCTCCATTACTCAGGGTGAGGTCTGAAGATCCATCTGTATATGCTGTTAAAGGCGGTGGCCCAGCATTTTTAATCAAGAGTTTGGATTATGAGGACATAGCAGTTAATATTCCAAACACATCAGACCTCGAAGCCCAAGGTATCAAGGTCTACCTCAATCAAAACAAAGCCATCAACATATACAATATGTATCACCCTCCAAACAATAAACTTATTGACGATGGAAAATGACTCAATTTCTTACAGACAATACTATTATTGTAGGTGACCTTAATGTAAAACATCAACTATGGGAATGTTCCACGCCAAACCCAAAAGGCAAAATACTATCAAACATATTTAACGACAATGCCTTCATGTGCTTAAATGATGGGAATCTTACCCATCATTCCTACAGCTATAATACTGCACAAGCACTTGATAAAGGTTTTTACTATACTGACATTTTCCACAAATGCAAATGGCAAATACTAAAAAGTATTGGAAGTGATCATTTGCTTGATTTGATAGAAATTACCACCAAGACCAAAACCAGCTCGATTAAGAAAATTTCTGGAACTTCAAAAAGGCTAATTGGATATCTTTCAAAAACACTGTTATTAAAGCAGCCAAAGTTTCAATACCAAGAGGTAATATTAAAAAATGGATTCCAAATTATACACACCAGGCAAAATATTTTCAAACACTTATAACTAAAAGAAATTAACTACAAAAAGTGCACCCAAAACCAAACAAATTGTAGAACTGAACTGAACATTTAGAATGAAAAAATAAAAGGTTTATACGTAAATGTGAAATGGGAAAAATGGAAACAAACTTGTAGAAACCTGAACCCAAGAAACCCAAATACAAAACTTTGGCATTTGGCAAAACAAATTGACAGATCCCATTCACAAACTGAAATCACAAATATGATTAAGAATTTAGATGGTAGCCCAGCAACTAATGACAAAAATGCTGCCAATCTTTTAGATAATTCATATAAAATAAGTGGTAAAATCAAATTTGAAATAAAAGATATGAAAGTTGAAAAAAGGCCCGAAAGATTATTCTTGACTGTAAAAATGTTACCAGCACTCTTAATATTTTTCCGTGAAAAAAATCAATATGAAAGAGCTAGCTTATGCATTAGAAAACACTAACCTAAACAAGACTCCTGGGCCAGATGGAATAATGGCCAAATGATATCAAACTTGGGAAATATTGGCAAAGAAAGACTTCTTCATATTTTCAATAACTCCTGGAAAACTGGAAAATTGCCTCAAGACTGGAAAACTGCAACAATAATTCCCATTTAAAAACTTGACAAATCTGCTGATGACCCGAAAAAACTAGCGACCTATCTCCCTCACAAGTATTTGCTGCAAATTAATGGAAAAATTATACTCAGACAACTCACCTAACACCCCGACACAATAAATCTCTTACCAGAAGAACAATATGGATTTAGGAAAGGACATAGGACAATAGACCAACTCTTATTTTTCACACAAAAGGTAAAATATGCACAAAACAGAAAACCAACTAACCACACCATAACTGCTTTTTTAGACCTTACACAAGCTTTTGATATGGTATAGAAAAACAAGTTTATTACAAAAGTATACAAACATTTCAAAATTGATAAAAAATCGAGCACTTGGATAAATGATTCCCTTAAAAATAGATACACCAGGGTCAAATATAATGGCACTCTATCTAAAACTTTCAAATTGTATCAAGGATTACCACAAGGATCAGTCCTTAGATAAATCTCTTCACCCTCTTTATTGTAGACATAGAAGAAATAAATTCACATAAAACCAATATTGTAATTTTCGCTGATGACATTATTCTATGGAGCAGCAACACTAACTGGAAAAAAGCTGAAAGGGATTTGAACAAGACTCTTCTCCACCTAAAAAAAAATCTAATAAACATAATTTAGAATTTAACCCTCAAAAATCTGAAACCTGTCTTTTTACTACCGATAAGAAATTAAACAGAATAAGAATAAATATTATTCTGAAAGAACAACAATTGCAATATAATAAACATCCTAAATATCTCGGCCACACCCTGGATCCAGATATTAACTCCAGTAAACATAATGAAGGAGTTGTTAGAAAAGAAAGAGACCGACTAAAAATCTTGAAATATATTTCAGGAAGAGAGTGGGAAGCTGAAGCAACAACACTAAAATTAACTTGCCCATCTCTAATGAGACATTATCAGAATAATGATAGACCTTATCTAATGAGAATTATCTTCAGGATAGAACGTTCTCCGTAAAAGTTGGAACATATATATCAAGTCCTCGGCAAATAGAATCTGGTGTTCCTCAAGGCTCAATATTGAGTCCTATACTTTTCAATTTATACATCAATGATATTCCACATATCCCACAATGCCGACTAGCTCTTTTCGCTGATGATACTGCCCTGTTATCCAGCTCGCGTTCCCCAGATATTTTAATTTCCCGCCTTCAAAACTATCTTGAAATCATTTGCAATTGGTGTGATAAATGGAAACTCAATCTGAATCCAAAGAAATCTCAAGCAATTATCTTTCCTCCACGAAATAGCTTCAAGTTCACACCCAGGACAAATCTTATAATTTATTCATCTCGCATAAATTGGACCCAGCAGGTCAAATATTTGGGAGTCACTTTCGATTCTAAACTGAAATTCACCAGCCACGTGAAGGATATAATAAGAAAATCTAAAATAGCCAAAGCCTCATTATCCAATATGTTCAGTTCAAAAAGTGGTTTATCTGTTAACCAAAAATTTACTTTATGCAGAAGCTGTATTCTCCCTATAGTAACATACGCATTGCCTGTATGGTTTAAATATATATCCTTGACTGATAGGAAAAGAATAGATGCATTCATGAGAATTTGTTTAAGAAGTACTGTAAATGCCCCATTTAATCTATCAAATGCAATTTTAAAGCAGGATTTAAACCAGCCTAATATAGAAGAAATATACATATTCTCGACCCAGAAATTATATCTAAAACTCTCTACTTCCCAAAATCCAGTTATACAAGAATTGTTCCAATTTGATGGAGACCTCAATCCAAGACATAAAAGACCTGGACTTCACTCTACCTGAACTGTGACCTTCCAGTCAATTCTGAAGTTTTTTTTAGAAATTCTTGATGCCTAACATCCACGACAAAGTGACTCGTGAGCTTTATGCTCGAATGGTACACTGTAAATTTGAGAGGAAATAAAT